GGGAGATGATTTCGGAGAAGCAGCCATGGCTTTTGCAGATGGTGCTGCTGAAGATCGCCCTGGTGGAGTTGTGCTCTCGTCAGAGATGGAAATCTGCAAGGTGCGCTTGCCCAGTTTCTTCTTGAAAGCAGTGAACTTGGTGTTGGCCTCTATCTGCTCTTGCTTGATGGTGACAGTGGGCTTCACCTCCTCCGCCTCGGGTTTGGTAGCATCCTGTTCAGACTCGGCTTTGGCAGCATCTTGTTCAAGATCTCGGCTCAGCAGAGAGTGACTGGACATCACTGATTTGAGGCGTTTGACAGGTGGTGCTGCTTCCGGAACTACCTCATCATAGTAGTGGAAAGTGGTCCCGGAGATGCCTGCAAGTGTAGGACGGGCCTCCTGCAAGTAGCGGCGGCCCGTGCTAAACTCCTTTCCAATGATGCTTGAGCAGAACTGGACGTCTTCCTTGTCCAAGGCCGCCTGGAGAAGATTCAAGCTCCACTGCATGTCAGACTCGTGATCGTTGGGCAAGTTGGCGAGTTGGCTTTTGTAGTACGCTGAGAGAACAGGTCGGGCTGAGAGTGAAATCATGCCAATGTCTTTGTCGGGCCACGCAACACGTTTGACGGGATCGCGATTGATGCTGGGCAAGCGCGTGTAGATGCCTTTCTCTGTGAAAACGACGACGAGGGAGCGTTTGAAGATCGCCATCAAGTCCTCCTCATCGAAGTCTTTGTGGAACGATGGGCGTACCAGCTTGAAGAACACCTCGAACGGAATGGTGTCGGAGTTCGTGTTGGGGGGCATGTCGGGTTCCACCGAGCGATCATAAGGATTTGAACACACTTGGCATAGTTGGTTTTTGGCGTAGGAGGCGGCATTCCACCTTGCCATTGTCTTGCGGTCAATTCCTGACACCTCGGTGACAGCCTTAACCGCTGCAGGATGCTCCAGGTTGAGGTTGCCATCGTCGAAGACACGAGGTTTGGTTCGACGCCCCTTCTCCTTCCTGNNTGGTTTGCTGTCTGGAAGACCGGCGTTTGGCCCTCTTTGTTCTCTTGAATAAGCCAATATGCCGAAACTACCTTTGAAAGGGTGTACGATACCGGGCTCTTGCCGACATACGATTTGCCAATCCAAATCACGGCATGCTCTAGCACGTGCGGCAAGATTGGCGCGATGACTTCGTTGAGACACCATGGAGTCAAGCTCTTCAAAGTCAAGGGCCAATCAGTGATGCTTTTTGCTTGTGAACCTTGGTCGGCCAGACACCGCAAGAACTCCTTGACCACACTTCTGTCCCATTTGTAGATTGGGCTGTTGGGATCGTTAACCTGCTCTTCAGTCCAGAATGTGAACTGCCCGTCGGAATTCTCCTCGGGGCCCTCCTTGCGGATGAAAGCAAAACCAGTGCGAATCTCATTGGTTTCTTTCGCTTGTTTGTTGGGGCCTCCTGCAGGAACTAGCTTTTGATAGCGTACTTGAAAACCGCCCAAACCCTCGAGAAGATATTGTAGAGCACGTCCACCCTCTCGATAATTTTGGTTGTAGTTGATTTCGAGGGCTTGGCCTGTGCACATGGTGCGGATAGTGCTGTGAAACACCTTCGTGCCTTCTGAAAATTTGATGTGCTTCACGATGTGGTGCTTGCCAGAGTCTGCGGGCAAAATGAAAAGCTGCATGTTGTAAGGCGTCTCAACACGACTGTTGACTCGGATGGGACTTGGTAGATCGGCATAGCGTTGCTGCAAGAAGAGTGTTTCGATATGTTTGAGGTCGATCTCTCCCTCATAGTCCAACATGATATCAAGGAACTGAACCTTCTTTTTGATCGAGTCTGCGGTGATCTCATCTTGGGCGGGCAAGTCGCCGACTTTTACACAACCAACATCTTTATGAACGATCATAGGCCTGTCGAGCTGCAACACCTTTAAGCCGTCCGTGTTAGATATGGCTTCTTCCCAAGTGATCGCACCGTCCAAGTGCCCTTCGTTCATAGACTGCGCCAACGACACGGGACGTCGAGGGGTTTCGCTNNTGAGATCGCTGTACGAAAAGTCGAGACTTTATGCTATATTGAGCAACTAAGGCTTCGTGTTGCAGATTTCAGCTTCCTATGCAAGAATGTAGAGCACACAGCGAACGCCAAACAGAGCTTCAATGCAAAGATCTTTGTTTTCCTGACTCGCATCGTGGACAGCAGTAGCCATTCGAATTTAATTCGAAAGCATCTGTAACAGCATGGCATACTCTAACTCAGTTAGTTGCCTTTCATTGTCCTCAATGTCATATGCCCAACATCTTGCCTTGCAGCGCCAAA